GTTATGTTTCTATGACACCGCAGCATCTGAATGGTTCAAATTATAGCCCTAGGGTCAAATTGACTTTGCCCTGATGGGGGGGGGGGGTCATAGATTTTCTGTGTAGTAATAATTTTAAATGAAATCTTCTGCTTCAAAACTAAAAGGGCTATACCTTATATATTTGGCATGAAACATTGTGATTTGGACCTCTACCAAGATTGTTCAAATTATAGCCCTGGCTGCAGTAGGATCATGGGGTTTCCCCAAATATATTTTGTGAAAATTTTAAAAGAAACCCTGCTCCTCCAAAACTAAATGGACTGCAGCTAAGATATTTGGCATGACATCAAGTATTCACTAAACACTATAGCATTATCACTAAGTTCAATTGTATAGAAACAGAAAATGAACTTTAATGTTATTCTGTTCCTACTACATGTATTTAGTGTTGTATAATGTGATGGAAAAGTAGTTTTTATGCCCCCGCCATGTAATGGCCGGGGCATATAGTGTTACCCTGTTCCGTCCTTCCGTCATTCTGTCATTCCGTCATCATCAGTTTCCGTTCATTATCTTAGTAACGGTTGCACACATTCATTCACGTTCATTATCTCCCCAATGGTACAACACATTCAACTCAAACTTGACATATGGATATGTCATGAAAAAAAACAGGTCAAGTTCGAATTTGGTCATGGTTCGATGATTTTTGGTAGAGTTATGCCCCTTTTACTTTGAAAATAATATGAAATTTTCAGTTTCCGTTCATTATCTCCCCAACAGTACAACACATTCAACTCAAATTTGACATATGGATATGTCGTGAGAAAATACAGGTCAAGTTCGAATTTGGTCATGGTTCAATGATTTTTGGCAGAGTTATGCCCCTTTCACTTTGGAAATAATATGAAATTTTCAGTTTCCGGTCATTATCTCCCCAATGGTACAACACTTTTAACTCAAACTTGACATATGGATACGTCACAGGAATGCGCAGGTCAAGTTCAAATTTGGTTATGGTTCAATGATTTTTGGCAGAGTTATGCCCCTTTCACTTTGAAAATAATATGAAATTTTCAGTTTCTGTTTATTATCTCCCCAATGGTACAACACATTCAACTCAAATTTGACATATGGATATGTTTTTGTAATGCCCAGGCCAAGTTGGGATTTGGTCATGGTTCAATGATTTTTGGTAGAGTAATGCCCCTTTCACTTTGAAAATAATATGAAATTTACAGTTTCTGTTCATTATCTACCCAACTACTCAAATTTGACATATGGATATGTCAAAGGAATGGGCAGGTCAAGTTTGAATTTGGTCATGGTTCGATGACTTTTTGGCAGAGTTATGTCCCTTTCACTTTGAAAATAATATAGATACATCTTAGGAATAAGCAGTTTAAGTTTGAATTTGGTCGTGGTTCAATGATTTTGGACAAACTTATCTTTCTTGAATGTTGTAAAAATTTTGAACTTTCAGTTTCAGCACTGAAATGTATGTAGCCATTATTTTGGCTACAAATATGAAATATGCTATTTTCAAAAGGTTTAGACTGAATAATTTCAGTGCCTTGAACATTGTATGAAAATGGTTTGTGTTAACATTGAAAAGTTTTAAGGGCTTTGAACTTAAAATGAAAAAAATTATTTGTGCAAACAAATTTGGAACTAATATTATAACATCTGAAATTTTGGCTGCATGCGGGGGCATCCGTGGCATGATGACACATTTCTAGTTCACAAATGCAATCTTGTTTCATGTATATCATTGTTTTGTTTCATGTTTATCATTGTTTTGTTTGTATCAGAGATATAGATGATGGAAGTGTTGGACACAGCAGTCCATATGGTAACCATAGTGATGAGGAACAAGGCTACATACATCAGGTATACTTGCATGCTTTGTAAACTTACCTTGCGAGGTATCTTCATGCCAGGTACCAGGTATGATCCCCATTTGGATCATTCTTAAGAATATTACTTTTCACCTGACTTATTTTAGGAAATGGACACAGCTTTGCTTTGAATTTGGAAAATTTTCCGTTGTTAATTTTGAAATCTAAATATCTAATGCTGAAACATTTATCAGTAAATATTCTTCATTTCAAATACTCTTTGGATATAACCTTGATTTCATCTCGGTTATATGAAAAACATTGGTGAGAGAATATTTACTTCAAAACAAATTTATCACTAAGTCCGTATGTAATGAATAGTGGCATTTATTAACAAGTTCAAGATGCAAATTAATTTGCTAATTTGCTTATCAGAGCTGTGTATTGCCACACAGGTTGAGATTCAATACAATCTGCAATTCAGACCGGACAATTTTCAAAGAGAAAATATAATGTGCTTTCAAAATTCAGACCCAACGATTCATGAATTGCACCATGAATCCTCTCATGATATTAATATTAAAAACAATTACAATGTTCTTAAAACCTTTCAAAGAAAAGATAAAATTGAAGTGAATGACCTTTACGAAGTTTCTTTAACCCTGGGAAGCATTAAAAACAGCAAAATAACATGAAATTGTAGACTTGGTTTGATTAAGTCTGTGAAAAAGTGCAACAGCACTCACGCCTCCTAGCACCGGCTTGAGCGGTACTCAATTCTCAAACACTAAAAGTGCTGGACTCAGTGATCCTGAAGGACCAAATAAATATAACAACACTGAAGTGAAGTACAGGGCAACTTTTTACAGCTGCCACACAGCACTTGACACTGCTGTTTAAGTTTGCCTTACAACTTTTAGTTTCAAATAAGTGATGATAATAGGGTTACTAAAGATAAGACAACATTAAATAGTAAAACAGAAATTCCTTTTGAAGGTTCTATACATTAAACAGTTATTAAACATTATAATAATTTAAGTGTAAACTGGGATTCAGTGATCTTAGAACAAACAAATATCAGACTGGTAAATAATCGATTGTCCCTGTAAACGTTACAGCCCTACTCCTTATTGAGCTGTCCAGACAATTCCAGAACCATGTATTATTAAATAAATGATGTGTGTATTTCAGGATGAAGACATGTACGAAGCTGATGATGCAAGTGATCACGATGTTGCCATGGAAACAGACTTTGTCGAAAATCCACCAGATAGCGAGCCCGCTTACCCACCAGGTTCACCAGAGGAAGGTGAAGTGATTGATGACAATAGTGACGCAGGGGAAGTTAACACTAATGATTCTATAAAAGCTAATGTTAAACAGGTCACAGAACCTGTTGATAAAACAGAAGAAAATTCCAAAGAAGGTGAAGGTGATACCAATACATCTCAGAACAAAAAGGAATTTTGTGATGAAAATATTGAGTGTGAGGTTGTTGAAGATGATGCTGAAAGAGGAGAGGAAACCATCTTAACTGATATATTAGATAAAGATACCAAACTAGTAAATGTGGATAAGAAAACTGATGATGATAGCAATGATAAAAAAACTGATAAAAGTGATAAAACAACTGAAAATGTTGGTGTTGATGTTAGAATTGTTAAGAAAGAAATAAGAGATTCTGATGATGAAAATTCAACAGCTGTTACAGATAAAAAAGATGAAATTGACAAGAATGATGTGGACATGAAAAAATTAGATGATGTTAAAACTGAAGAAGATAATGTAGTAGATGTTGAACCAGTTGAGAGTGAAAAGGACCTGTCAGATGAAGGAGAGGTTTTAGAAGAGAGTGCAAAGGATAGTGCCAAAGCTGGATGTTCCAAATCAGAAGTAATTGTTAGTGACGTTAAAAAGGGAAAACCTGCTAGAAGAGTTGTAAAACCACCAAAACAAGACATTGCACCAGCTTTGACAAGAAATCAAATGGAATTGTTAGAACTTGAGATGAGAGCTAGGGCAATTAAAGCAATGTTAAAAACTGCTAAATGATATGGTATTAGAGGGGGTTTCAGCTGACAAAAGCCCATACACTTAGCTGAACGTGAACAATTTTTCTTCATAATATTTCCCTTTATTTTAATTTGATCTCCAGATGAAAGAAAAAATCATTGTCGTAGATAAGAGCATTTTTACATTGTTGATCAAATGATGTAGATTTTAAATGACATTTTTAAGAACATCTTAATTGTATATTAAATTAAGTATTGATATTTTAGAAAGTAAAACTTCATTTATACAAGATGTTGCTTCAGGCATTAAGAAGCCATTACAAAAAGAAATCAATTTGAAATCTTGTTTGGAACTTAATTTTTCCGAAGTTTTTCATTTTGATTTTAAAGATAACAAATATCTATTGAAAGTGACAGAATGTTCATGCTTTAGTAAACATTCAAGGCTGAACAATCATTTTGTTAAAGTAAATATTTGAATCATCTTGTTATATACATGTATGTTATGTACATGTATGTATGTAATATTTTCAATGTCTTAAGGCTGAATTAAGTCGCTTTGTTACACATGACACATCAAACTTAAAGAAATAAAATATATTTTTTCGTGTTATTTTATGTGGCTTTTAACAGTTTTTGTTTCCTCCGTGGTATGAAAGGTTTACAGGTGATGGTTTCGTACCTTATACCCCATGTCATTAAGAGTTCAAGTCCTGGCAGGGGTATTGGGTTCTTACAAGAAATGAAGCTGCTCGGTTAGTTGCTGAATGTTTGTGATGCTACACAGGTGCGCAGTTGTGGCTGAACTAGTTATGTATGCCCGATCTTCTAGGAAAGTTGATGTTGTTTAACCTAAAAATCCCTAAGCTTTTTATCGGAGGATATGATATTTCATTACAAACTTTCAAGAAAGAATACTGCAAAATAAAAGCAATGGTTTATCACAGAAAGTATTTTTAGTTTGTAATGCTACCCAGGTGCCCCCTTGTGCCAGAAATAATGTATGATGTTTACCAGGAGATGTTGACATTGTTTTTTTTTAATATGAGTAACCTAAATCCCGAAGCCATACTTGTTCTCAGAGGATATTTTTTTATTCAAAATAAATTACATCGCAAGGTATATTTCACTTTCAAGCAAGTAATTTTCTTATACTCTTAAATGAGTAACAGCTACTTAAATTTCTTCATAATATAATTATCCCTTTCAATTTCAAAAATAGAAGGAAAGATGGGCAAACTGACATTTTGGTGCTATATTTAGTGTTCAATTCAACGCTTTTCCTTCTTATATTTAATTTTCTGTCTGAAACGCTAAATAATTGATGTGTTAACATTTTATGGTTTTAATCTTGTGAACTTAAAGTTAATAGATGCCATAAACAGCCATCAATTATAATCACTTGTTCACAAAATATGTAAGGATAATAATTGTGGCTTTTTTGGAAGATAATTATTTACAAAGCCAAAGTGAAATTAGGGTTGAGTTGATAAAAGATACAAAAGGAGAAGTTGTCTAGACTTGATTTTTCATCTCTACGATTATGTCAACATTTTTGGAATAATTATTGCTTTCTTAAGCAATTTATCATGTTTATTTTCTGTGTGTATGTCTAAACTTTGTTTTGACTTGGCTTCTTGAACTTCAAAATCAGAATAGATAGGGGGGGAAATGGGAGTCTCAAGCTATACTTATATCACGGTGCCGAAGGCTGATTATTTCTAAAATCTGTTAGGTGACATTTTTTCTCAATTTGTTTCAATTTTACAGTTGACAGCATCAAAGTAGCAGTGATTCTATTACAAATTTGGCAAGTTTTACGCAACCCAATGGTAAGTCAAGCCCCAAGGGCAGTGGCAAGAAAAATGAGTCGTATTTACCTTTCAAATTATTAATTTACACTCTGTACATACATAACCTGGTGAATGTGTTTGGTTTCATTTTGGCATAAATGTCTCATCAACCAGCTGACAATTCTTGGGCAGGGAAGGGTAGTGTAGGAGGAGTTTAATAATCGAATAGTCAAACTCCCAATTATTTCTAGGATTGGGGGGTTGGCATCAATGACAGCTTTACTAAAGAACAATACAGACATTAAAAAAAAAAAGACGAAAAATTCTGATCCCTCAGTAAGTTTGCTAAATGTACGACTGACATATTTAGGTTTGGTGGTCTTGAATACATAATGATGATAACTAGACGAAAACATGTTTGTTTGTTTTCTATATGTAGCAATATTCTCTAGACACTTGTTATGTCAATAAAATTGTTTATTCATCTACTATGAGGGTATTTTTCATTGAAAATAACGAAAATTTTGGCATGGAAACTAAGGGCAGTAACTTAGCTAAAGTCTGGTATTTATTTTGAATACTAAATTTTATCCGTTGCCATTACTGAATACAGTTGTTGTTTTTATTTTCAATGTATACTTAGAAAGTTGGAGGATAAGCACATGTGTTCAACAGTATTGTAGTGTGCTATTTAGAAAATTTAGTTTCGGGGATTATTATTTACACGTTTTTATTTTTCACAAGAAATTCCTAACTTGTTCACATTTTTGTTTGTTTTGGTAACATATCATTCCAGTTCTGTTACAAACAAGCAGTAATATAAAACATAAACTAACTTCAGTTATTGAATGAGCTTTAGTCATTGAATGAGCTTTCTTGCAAGGTACTGCTTCCTGAGCCTGTGACCTCCATGGCTAAGTAGTTAAGATCACTGATTTCATATCACTTCATATTGATACTTAGGGATGAGTCCAAGTGATAAACATTTAGACACTCCCTGTGACATAAAACATGTATGAAGTATGTTTTCTAGCAACTGTAACGTAATTCATATACATTTATTATGTCATTCTTGAACTGTTTCAAAATTGCCTGAATAAGTTTTTTTGAAAACATGATCACATACAACTTCTGATAAGGGAGGCTAGTGTGAATTTTTTTCTAAAAACTTGCATCTAGAGTTATTCACCTTTCATACGTCATGATACCTGACCACTAAAATTTGATGATCTCATAGATCAATATGCACTTGTTTAATAAAAAATCTTGTAAGGATGATCATTTATTTCCTTTTTATGCCCCCCTTCGAAGAAGAGGGGGTTTATGTTTTGCTTATGTTGGTCGGTAGACCAAATGGTTTCCGCTGATTATCTAAAAACTATTTATCATAAAGTATTTCACATACTGATTGGTCATAACTGGTAAATGACCCCTATTGATTTTGGGGTCAAGGTCACAGGTGCCTTTTATGTCCGAATGGTTTCTGCTCATAATCTTGATAACTATTTATCACAAAGTCTTCATATTTCACATACTGATTGGTCATAACTAGTAGATGACCCCTATTGATATTGGGGTCACTAGGTCAAGGTCACAGGTGCCTTTTATGTCAGAATGGTTCCTGCTCATCATCTTGAAAATTATTTATCACAAAGTCTTCACATTTTACATACTGATTGGTCATAACTACATGACCCTTATTGATTTTGGGTTCACTAGGTCACAGGGAACAGAATGGTTTCCGTTCATTATCTTGGAAGCTATTCATCAAAATGGTTTCTGCTCATTGTCTTGGAAACTATTTATCACAAAAGGCTTAATTTTTCACATACTGATTGGTCATAACTAGTGCATGACCCCTCTTGATTTTTGGGTCACTAGATCAAGGTCAGAGCGGCCTTAAATGTAAGAATGGTTTCCGCTAATTACGTTGAAAACTTTTTATCAAAAAGTCTTCATATTTCACATACTGAATAGCCATAATGGGGGCACTAGTTCAAAGGTCAAGGTCTTTAGATTTCACATATTGATTGGTTATAACTAGTTGGTTATTTTATTTTTCATAACTGAACACTTCCATGTACCCATATATAGCAAGTTCCTATAAAAAAATTACCAATAATATGAGTCAAGGGCTGGAAAGGGGGGGGGGGCATACGTGTGTCGTTTTCCTTTTGAAATTCATTCATATGTTTGCTATGGAATTAACTGGCTGTTATGGAAGTCGCTTGTTGCTATGCAAAGTCAGTTGTTGTTATGGAAAGTCAATAGTTGCAATGGAAATCACTGGTTACTATGGAAAGTCAATGATTGCTATGGAAGTCAGTTGTTGCTAAGAAAAGTCAATGAATTCTATGGAAGTCACTGGTTGCTAAGAAAAGTCAATGAATTCTATGGAAGTCATTGTTTTTGATTTGAGGTCAGTGATTGTTATGATTAAGTGATTAAGTCACTGCATGCTATGGAAATTCAATGGTTGCTATGTAAGTCAGTGTTTGAAATACATATCAGGAAAAGTCATTACTCTTCTGTCAGAGGTGGAGCCGTTTTAGGCTTAAGGGTTATAATTTTAATAAACTTAGAAAGTCAACAATATAAAGTCAATAATACAATGTTTAATGCAAATATTTCAGCTCTAGCTGTTGTTAAAAATCCTTTTTCCCCATGGGCGGGGCCAATTTAGACCCCAGGGCAATTATTTAATAAACTTGGTAGACATCAACAAGACAATGTTTCATGCCAAGTATATGGAAGATTTTGAAGTTTGTATTATACACATTATTGTAAAAAAAAATTATGACCTCACAGGGCCTAAGTGCTGTAACTTTTTTGTAGAGGTCCACATTGTTTCATACTACATATACATGCATTTACCAAAGAAAAAGCCGTTGCAATTTTCAAGTAGAAGAATTTTGAAGTATTAACTACAGCCAGAGCCAATTTTGACCCCAGGTCTATATTTTGAACGAAGAGGTTCGTTCAGTTGACAATGTTTTATGCGACATATCCAAGATCTAGAATCTATTTTTAGGTATTTTGACCTCTAGAGATCTTGAATGAAGAAATAACGGTTGTAGGGCTTCATACTTGGAACATCCCAGTGAATTTTCATCTGACATCAACTTTGACCCGGTCTTTCGAAAAAAAGTTTACGCACGACGGACGCATGACAAATTGTGCCCAGATGAACTAAAAAGTCAATAGTGTTGCTTATAAGAACCGCCAATCTCTTTCATAATATTTCTCCATAGGGACAATGAGCATCATGAGATATACATATAAGCCGCGTCACGACAAAACCAACATAATGGGTTTGCGACCAGCATGGATCCAGACTAGCCTGCGCGTCCTCGCAGTCTGATCAGGATCCATGCTGTTCGCTTACAAACCCCTTTAACAAGTAGAGAAACTGATTGCGAACAGTATGGATCCTGATCAGGCTGCGCGGATGCGCAGGCTGGTCTGGATCCATGCTGGTCGCAAACCCATTATGTTGGTTTTGTCGTGACACGGCTCATATCTTCTATATACATATCGACAAAAAAAGACTATTTTATACTCAATTGTAACATTATACTCAATTGTAACATTTAATTGACATTAAGAGTCAAATAAATAAATTCATACATGTATTCTGAATATTTGTTTCATATACAGTATTATTATTTACGAAATTATCTCGGTGTCAAACTAAGGTCTGCACAAAGTAAATAGCCTGGATCTTTATGTAATAACTGGTAAGCATCTATTCCATTCTATTGAAATGAAAATCAACACATATTGGGACAATAATAACAACAAGTCATCTTGATAAACACAG